GTGGGTCCAGCCCGCCGGGTGACGGCATCTGTGTGTGACCGTGTGTGGCCGCGGGTGTAGGCAGCGTCCTGGGCAGACCTCCAGGCCGGGCCTCCGTACCCGGCACTATCCTAGGTCCTGAGCTCGCGGCGATTCTAGGGGCGAAGATACACAGGAAACATTAACCATAAAGTAATGTCCGGCAGTGAGTGATGTGAAGCGCATAAAACGGGAAAGAGAGGCCGTGGCATGCCGAAGGGGTTTCGGAGGAGGAGGAGCAGAGTCTGGATTGTAATACGGTAGGCACACGTAAAGAGAAGTCTGGTGTTCGAGAGGAAACACCTTTTTCTTTTTCTTTTCCTTTTTTTTTAAAGTAGGAAACAAAAGGCCATGTTTTGAGTTGAGCAAAGGAACAAATGGAGAAGGAGTTTTGGAGGGAGAGGAGACAGGGGGCCTGGGATTGGGGGCGACCTTTTGAGACAGGAAGGAAGGAGGGGTGGGGGTATGTATACAGATAGATGTTTCTGGGTAGGGGCTTGAGTTTTCTTTGTGGAATAGAGGCCTTCTTTGGGGCAGAGGAAAGGGAGCCAGTGGAACCCCCAGAGCGAGGGTGGGGAGAGGGTGCCTGGAGGGATGGGGGCGGGGGTGTCTCTTTCTTACCAGGCACATCCCTGACACCTCCTGATGTTGGAGACCGGCTGCTGTGAGAGCGGAAACTCCTCGCACCCGTTATGATTTCCCTCACCCGGCAGCCTTTGGCCGCCCAGGGGTCTGAGTGCCCACCTGAAGGGTAGTTGATCCAAGTAAGTGGGTTAGCAGGGAAGATGTGCCAGACAGAAGGAAGTGGGAGTGGAGGGCAAGGGGCCGAGGGTCCGACCAGAAGGAGGCTGAGCCTGGGCTGGATAGCGACGGATCGGGGCGAGCCTCCTGGTGTTGGGCTGGAGGTGGGGGGAGGTGGCATTCTCTCTGAGAGCCAAGAGCAGGTGTAGCCGAGGAGGAAGCGGCGCCCTGGATGGGTAGGGGAGATTGTGATCAGGCAGCAGCATGCTGGAGTGTAAGGTTTCGGTTGTGGAGCAGTTAACAGGGCTTGGCTGTGACTGCTGGCATGGAGGAGGCGTCTGTTTGAGGAGAGGCGGTCGGGGAGCTGAAACGAGGGTTGTGGCAAGTGTTCAGGAGGATGCGGAGAGCTGAGGTGGAGAGGGAAACAGCCAGATGCCTACGCTGTGAGGAAGCTGGGGAACCGATTATCTACGTTAAAAAAAATAATTATGGGAGATGAAACCGAGATCTAGGGAATTTGAGAGGATTGTTCAAGGCACACAGATCATACACTTAGTTGAGGGATGTGCTCAGGGTAGCAGACCTGGGGTGCTTGGCGGCTCCTCACAGGCAGCGCTTTAGGGAGTCACAGCAATCCGAGGTCTGGCCTCCTCATCTCGGGGCTCAATGGACGTGCTCAGCGCACCCAGAGATGATGTCTCCTCAACAGACTCGCTAGCTGCTCAATAACCAGGGCACCACCTGTTTAGTTTCCCTTCCTAGTGCCTGGAATGCTCCATATCCGTCCCAGCACCCCTTCTTTCCTCTGGAGAAGCCTCTCAGACGTTGCTGGGTGAGCATGGGCGCAAACCAAGGGAAGCCGTGTAACCTGGGTGGGCATTATCCCACCTCCAGCACCAGGCCGCAGCTTCCCAGAGTTTGGGCCTGAATCCTCGCAATCTACAGTGCTAGGCAGCGGTTCTCAACCTGTGGGTCGCGACCCCTTTGGCGGTCGAACGACCCTTTCACAGGGGGCGCCTAAGACCATCCTGCATATCAGAGATTTACATTACGATTCATAACAGTAGCAACATGACAGTGATGAAGTAGCAACGAAAATAATTTTATGGTTGGGTCACAACATGAGGAACTGTATTGAAAGGGCCAGAAGGTTGAGAACCACTGCGCTAGAGGAATGCTGTCCACTCTCTTACTTTCTCTGCGTGTCCTCTCACCTTCACTTTTTGACCATGTTGTTAGGCAAGGGTTCAGTTAGTCCCATTTTCCAAGGGGCCCTGGGAGATAGTCTCCTTCCACTCATGTGTGGGGTCCACCTGTTCCCTTTGATACAGCGGTAGCAAGCATGAGCACAATTGGTTCCAAATTTCTTTTGAATTAATAACTGTTCGATATAACCATTAACTCCAATTATAATTAATGTGAAATGATAAAACTTCTATTGAGGGAAAAGTAAACTTAAACATTATTCTGACAGTGTTTTGTGCTTAGGTTTATGTAACAAATGATTATTACATGAATGAAACCAAAATTCCTAAAAGCATTCTAGAAACGAGATCGTAACTGTAACATGAGTTGATTTTCCAGTTATTTGGAAGCTTGGGAAATTAACACAAAGTGGTAGTAATTCTTGAAGAGTAATTAGAATCATTTCTGTACAACATAGGTGAGTTTTTACACAAAGCACCTTTTTTATGCAAGAAAAATGGGAAGTGCCTGGCCTGTGTGGCTCAGTGGCTGAGTGTCGACCCATGAACCAAGAATCAAGGTTTGATTCTGGTCAGGGCAGATGCCCTAGTTGCGGTTTCAATCCCCAGTAAGGAGCATGCAGGAGGCAGCTGATCAATGATTCTCTCTCATCATTGATGTTTCTATCTCTCTCCCTCTCTCTTGAAATGAATAAACACATATTTTAAAAAATGAAAAGGAAAATGGGAAGTGAAGAAAGCCTTCAAATATGCATCAAATGGAAGATAAGAAAAAAGGCAGAATAACATGGAACCAATGCTGTGATTTAAAACGACATTTATTAACTCAACGATTCTTAGGCCAGCAGTTTAAGCTGGGTTCAACTGTATAGTTCTGCTGATCTTTGCTGGGCCCTCCTGTGCATCTGCAGTCAGATGGAAGGCTGGCTGGTGGCTGGGTGATATGGGGTGGCTTCCCTCACGTAGCTGGGGGTTGGTAGGCAGGTGGCTGGGGGCTAGCTTTCTGCTGCTCTTCCACAAGGTCTCGGGTCATCTGGCTTGGTATTATTAGATGGTGATTTTAGGATTCTAATCACAGCGAGAGAGAGAGAGAGAGAGAGAGAGAGAGAGACAGACAAAGGCTCTTCTAGCCAAGGCTTGGAACTGGCCCATTATTTCTACTACCTTCTCCTAGTCAAAGCAAGTCACCAAACAAGCTCAGATTCGAGAAGTGGGTAAGCTGGCTCCAGCTTTTGGTGGGAGGAGTTGCAAAATACTGTGACTTTTCTGCAGTCTGCCACATATATATTGCTAATGGTGTGGCAGCACTGTTCTGAGTGCTTTGCCTGCATTAACAACCATCACATCAATCCCATGAAGTGGGTACTGTTACTAAATACAGTTCAGCGATGAGAAAACAAGTACTGAGACGCTAAGAGACCGGCCCATGTCCGTACAGGTGGTGGCACAGCTGAATCTGAGCCCAGGCAGTCTGGCTCCAGAGGCTGCTCTGTTCACCAACAAGCTGTCCTGCCCCGAGCGAGGCGGGAGAACTTGTTCTGAGCACACCGGATAAAACTCCAGCCTGTGTACATTAAACAGTGTGCTCACTGGGCAAACAGGGATACATCCATGCATACTTTATGAGTGAAAATGTATAAAGGAAACACTAGCATGAGCTATTTATCAATTTAGTCTCAGAACTAGGATACGAAATGCATCAGAGACGCTGCTTTTTCTTTTATTGAATAAGCAACCCAAAATATCCTAAATCAGAGTTCATAGCAATTGTAACCTTTCCTCTTTGGAGTTCAGTTATTAGAACTTTCAGCAAAAAGGAAGACTTCCGGCAGCCACAGAAAGTGTGGTCAGGCTGCGGGCGCGTTTTTCAGAATGTCGAAGGAAGGGCTGCCCGGTGGGTCTGGCTGTGGGCGGCATGTCAAGCTGCAGGCCTTTGGTTTCAGGTCTCCCAGGCGGCTGCCGAGCTTCAGCAGTACTGCGTGCAGAACGCCTGCAAGGATGCCCTGCTGGTCGGAGTTCCAGCGGGCAGCAACCCCTTCCGGGAGCCCAGGTCCTGTGCTTTACTCTGAAGACTGGTGAGTCTTGATCCACCGTGCCCGCCTGGGGCCATGCCACTATCACAGGGCTTCTCAGAGGATTTGGGCAAGTGTGTTTTGAATATCTAGTATCATTGGGGGAATGAAAAAGGAAAGCAGCCAAATGCACAACTATCCCTGAAGGGTGACTCTAGTCTCTATTTACCCTGCCTGTGCATTGCATCTAATTAAGAGAGTCTCAGTTCTCTCGGGCACTAACTCATAAGATGTTAGTATCTTCATGTACTTGAGCTCTCTGACCGAGTTAGCTGGTGGTCATTGCTTGACCTTAGTCCTACTCTCTCTGTCCTTACACCATCCCAGAGTTGTCATTTGCTGCTTGGTGCTATCAACCCACTTGCTGCTCTTGGGACAAAGGACTCCCCAGAGGAAGAGAGTTGTTCCTACTACCAGCTGTGATGTCTTTCAAAGGCTTCAGAATACATCTCTGTTTCACTTATTTAATATTTTTATTGGTTTCAGAGAGGAAGGGAGAAGGAGAGAGAAATATCACTGATGGGAGAGAATCATTGGTTGGCTGTCTCCTGCAGGCCCCCTACTGGGGATCAAGCCCATAACCCAGGCATGTGCCCTGACTGGGAATTGAACACTGTTGATCTGGTCAGAGCTCCTGCCTCTGGGGCAGGCTTCCTGACAAGTAGCCCCCCTCACACCTGCTCCCTCCAGCCTGCCAGCCCCTCAGGGCCCCGCACAGGCTGCGTGG